CAGATTTGGAAGGGGCCAAGAGGGGCCACCTACTCCAATCCCTTGACATGCAGGGGGAAAAATCAAAGCCCTCTGCTTAAAGAGCTCTAAAGAAGGGGAGCCTGCCATTTCAAAGACAAGACAGTGGTAGGAGGGCAAGGAACCACTACTTTCAATACAAAATATCTATCAGCCAGCCAATAATTGAATAAATTAGATTTGATAGAAACTGTCATAGTTGTAGTCTCCAAAAATAAATATTCCACATTCTCTGACCAGCACTAATTGAGACATGGAAATCAATGAACCACGGAGTTGAAAAGGCTATCTACTCCAATCCCTGCCAGTGGAGGACTCTACCACTAAAACATTCCTGAGAGGCAGTCGCTTAACTTTGATTAAAAACCAACAGCAGAGAAAAGCCCAGAGGTATAACAACTAACATACTGCCTCACACTTGATCACATCTCTAGCTCTGTTTTATACATTAGTCATTATCTGTCACAAAGGAGGCATATGGTCAGCTTTTCAAAATCTCAGACACATTCAACTTAACTTTCAATACTGCAAGGTATAGTGTTGGAAATGCTTTTTGAGGGCGTATCAGATGTACTGATGCATAACTGTTAGCAGTGAAAGCATGTCAAGCTAATAAAGAGTGAAGAAATATAGATTAGCCAAACACATTCCATGGATAGCAGATGCCTCAAAACAATATGCATGCCATCTACTAAAATGCCCATGTGTGGATGCAAGGACTGGGGAGAGATGTTTCCTTCTGTCAGTAAGGGATTAGAATGAGAACAACTTGGAGGGTTGAAAGCCACACTGGGTACTTTTGTACAGACTCCAGAGTTTTGTCATAAATTTATTTAAGTGTGGATTTCAGAAACTCTTTCTGTTGGAAATATGAACAGCAGTACACATGCCTGTTCAGACAAAACATAAAGACCAGAAAAAAGAACACAGGATTAAAAACAGAACACACACACACACATATATATATATATTCCATCCCCAATACTTTCAAACATAGTTTGAAGGGAAAAATATAGGGAAAGTGGGACAATTAAATACATTAAATATTCTCTTTTGCAATGAAATGTTGAGATAATTTGCGGCATCAGATATTTTCTCGATAAACAAATCGACAATATTCTTTTGTTTGTAAAAAAAAATCAATGATTTCTATTTTTAGCTTTCATTCCTTTCTTGTTTCTCAGACAACAATGAAGGCATGAATGCCAATAGATTGAATGAATTTGTAAGATAAAGAAGCTGTATGATAAACACAGTCATTCACCCTATAAACAAGCCATTCATTCTGCTGTCTGAAATCACTTTGCATTCCAAAAGTGCATTTGCTTCATATCTGTATAGATTGTGATATTTTAATTCTGTAATTCTTCCATGTTCATAGTGTATTTTTCATAATTTATAAATTCCTATGGGCTTTGATTTATTTTCTCAGCATGTTTATGTTTCACCTGAACAACCTTTTTTTCCAATTTGAAAAGCTGCTCATAGGTGTAGAAAACAAATAAATGTTATTGCGATTACTTATTGTGTATTGGCCTAGAATATATTGGACAGTATACATATATTAAAAATAAAGCCAGAACTGCCTGAGCTATATTTCATGGCACAACTCCTGGCTTCATTCTGACAGCAATTTTAATCACAATATCACCCAAAATGTGACCAACTCCAATTCTGGACCAACAGACATTCACAAGGCTCTTCCTTGTGAAATCTCAAACACTTAGCAAGGCTTTATCAAAATTCACAAGAATCCTTCCTTGTGAGACTTTAAACCTTTAGCATGTCTGGTGACCAGTCATTCCAAAAAAATCCTCAATGAAGTATATCATGACCAACAACTGAGTTTTTAAGAGCAGGTAGTGGGCCAATGGTTACATATCCATTCCTCCAATAAGAGTAAGTGCTTGTATGGATTGTTATACATACAACCAGGAAGGAGCGCAATAAGCTCAAGAAACATACAGTAAGGACTTAGCATTGAGTACCAAAACAGAACTACACAAGCCATACTATTTCTGATTTCTGTGTACTGTTATGGAAGCTGGACAGTAAAGAATAAAAGATCAACTCTGCTGAAATGTGGTGCTGGAGAAGAGTTCTGAGGATATCATGTATTGCTTAAAAACATAATTTCAAAGCCCTGGTCTGAAATAGCCATACATGTTGGACTAAAAGAACACTTTTGCTGGCATGGCTGTGCAGCAGGCATTTGCTGGAAAGGCATGGCAACTTCAGAAAACGGGTCTCTAAGATAATGTTTAAAGCCTTTTTTTTTTCACTGACAACACAGGTAATAAAATGGTGCAAGGAGTTTCTCACCCCCTTTACACCCAGTTGCATACTCTCACTATGGGATGCATGCAAAGCCCCCAATCACCCAAGTGTGACAATTCATTTGAGTCTACCTAACAGATGGGAAGACAATATAGTTTGTGAAAAATTCACATGATTTTTCCTACCCACGTCATTGCAATCATTTGCACCTATGAGGCATCTGAATGATATCACACCACAAGAAAACAGCTCTGATACTGTCTGCCTCATCTTTTGTGGACTTCCTCTGATGCACATTGTGTCACAATGACTGCAGTCCATAAATATTCATGCCAAGTAAAACTTTTTAGACCATAAAGAGCGACAAGACTTATTGTTTTCCTCTAACAGATTAATACCGTCACTCCCTCACACTGAATATGCATGTAAAGAGAAAGATCCTACTATATTGCCCAGGACTTGCTCACAGATACATTGGAGTCCAAGGAACAATTCAGGCAAAATGCCTTCAAAAAACTGAAAAGCATAGAAAACAGCATACTGATATCTACTTCTTTCTTGCTCAGCAATTGTTGTTTTACAGCAATTCACAATGTGAAAGGGAAGTGTTCTCCATATCCTGTTTTTCCAAGAAACTAGCACTGACAGAGGAAAAGAGTCTGTTGTTTTGCTCATTTCAACATAATGGGAGAAAAAACAATGATTTTGCATACTGGAGGACACCAAAGCAGCCCAGCTTAAGTCCTGGTTTTGGGGAAAAGGTGGAGTATCAAAAACAATAATGATGATGGCAATCATAGCTCCTCACTGTGGTTTATACATTAACGCTGATTATTATAGTTTGTTTTCATAGACTCACAGATAAATTGCCCATGAACAAAGGTAAATGTCCTCTATTGTAGGTAAGTACTGCACTGTTTGCCTTTTCATCTGCCATGTTACAGGTCATCAATAATAGTGATTTTGTCTATGCTTTAAAAGGCAGCACAAGAAATGTCTCTACAATGGATCAGTAAGTATTTTACTACTCTTATTCCTTTCATTTCTTAGAAAAAACAGAAATCAGAAATATCTATATGTTTGTGTGTATGTGTATGTATATACGTGTGTATGTATACATCTATATGTATATGTGTGTGTGTATATATATATAAATGTGTGTGTGTGTATGTATGTATGTATATCTGATCCAGCAGAGAGCATATTGTTTAGATATGCATTGAATTGAAAACTAAGGCTCATCTCCTACATATTCTCCTCTCCTTATATAAATCAAGATGTTTCCTGCTGGTGAGGCAGCTTCATATCACATGAGGAGAGCCTGTCACAAGATCACTCACAGTGATGATGTGATCATATCAGGTCCTACTGTTTGATCACTAGGGAGCCACAGGTGGATTATAAGAAGGATGCCTTCACACGCAAAGGCTTGCAGTCCCAAGAGGAATCAAATCAGCAGCCGTTGTTTCTAACTAAGGTGACCACATTCCACTTTGGAGAAAAGCAATTTGGGGCAGGGGTTATGAGAGAGAATCACCCTTGTATCCTTTTACTCAAATTCCCATAGCAACTATGCACAGACACGCACACACTTCCTGCAGTTTTTCCGAGTTTCATTCAAGCCAAACAAGTTAGCCTTTCACCTATGCGGCTCCCATGCCAAGGAACCAAGGAGGCGTGCATTTGTGGATTAGAAAGTGAATTCCAGAACAACAAGGGAGGGAAAGAGAGGGAGGGGGAGGAGGAGAGAAGGGAGAAAGAGAGAGGGAGAGGGTGGAAGAGAGAGGGAGAGAGAGGGGGAAAAAGAGGGAGGGAGGGAGGGGGGAAGAGAAAGAGAGAGGGGGGAAAAGAGAGGGGGAAAGAGAGAGGAGGGAGGAAGAGAGAGGGGGGAGACAGAGAAGGAGAGAGGGGAAAGAGGGGGGGAAGAGGGGGAAGGAGAGAGGGGGGAAAGAGAGAGGGGGGAGAGTGAGAGGGCGAGGGAGGGAGGGGAGAGAGAGAGAGAAAGCCAAGCTGGAAAAGGAGAGTTCATACCAGAGTCAGCAGCCCTAGATTTAATCACTTCTCCTGCATTTTAATGCCACTGCTTGTCACACTGACAAACACTCCTGGTTTCACCCCCTTCCTGCTGACCTTATTCCACCCTGAATAAGGTCAAATGCCTTGGGTGAGGGCGCTTTGAGGGTCGGTTTCTCCTTTTTACTCTTCCTGGACATTGGGAAGGCGCCCTTCCTGCCCAAAAAAGGCCTCTTTCTCCTCCTCAAATAATACTAATACAGATTATTGTGGGACCTGCACAAACTCCAGGACTCCTTGGTTCGGCTGCTTCCAAGGAGTTGTTATTATTGTTATTATTATTATGATGTGCCAGTCTTCAGAGAGGAAAAGGGAAGAGGTTCTTCTCCAGCAGGGCCCTCGGTGACAGGAAGTGTGAGGAGAAAGGAGGGATCTCGGAAAGCGATGGGCTTCCGTGGCGAAAGGGAAGCAAGGGAGGAGGGCAGGCGTGGGACAAACATCCACCTCCCAGAAAAGCCACAAAACCTTGAGAGGCGGGTGACAGGCCTCCAGTGGGAAGGGGCTGCTTTGTGGGCCTTCTCTCTCTCTCTTTGAGAAAGGAGCAGCCAACTTAGAAAGGATGCTGCTTACCAAGGTGTCACGGGCACAAACACACACACACACACACACAGAGAAAGACCAACCAGACCAACCTTTCGTCGTCCATTGTGCGCCTGAGCCCTGCATGCACCTCTCGCTGGCCAACACGGCCGCCTCTTCTCCTCCTCCTCCTCTTCTTCTTCCCGGGAGGGAAATCAGCGCCTGCGATTCAGCATGGCTGCAGCCCGCTTCTCCTCACTCCCAAAGCAGCAGCAGCAGCAGAGGCAGCTTAGCGTTGTTGCAGCAGCAGCAGCAGAGGCAGCGAGCCGAGCCCTCCTTACCCAGAGCTCCCCGCTGCTGCGCCTGCCTGTGCTCCTCCAGCCTCGGCGGCCCACTCCCTTCTGCTGCCGAGGCTAAGGCGGCTCCTCCTCCTGGCGACTCCGGTCTCCTAGCAACAGCAGCGGTGAGCCTCGCGAGCGCAATGGCGCCGGCCTTTGGTCCTGCAGGGTTTTGGGCTCGCGCTCCCAGAAGCCCCGCCCACTGGGCTGCTGCCTGTCAGGCATTCCCAGAGCTCAAACACTTGGAGGAGCAAAGCCCGGGGGAGGGGAGGGGAGGAGAGGGGAGGGGGGGGGGTGGCGGGGAGATGCAGAGCACCGTCTCAGCTGCGTTTCCAGCCTAGTGCATCCTTCACTCTCTTTTTTTTTGGGGGGGGGGAGCAATCAGGTTTCCAAACAAAGGATCCATCCAGGCAGTAATCAACCAGGCTTTGAAGCTGCAAGGCTATTCAGTGCTAATCAAGGTGGCCAATTGCAACACTCACATTTGCCTCAAGCACGCAATTTATTTATTTATTTATTTATTATTTACTATACTTGTATACCGCCTTTTTCAGCCTTATCCACAACTCAAGGTGGTTTACAACAAGTCAGCACACATAATAACAAAATACAAATTAAACATTAAAACTATAAAACCACAAGAAAAACAGGAGCCCCTGGTGGCGCAGTGGGTTAAAGCCCTGTGCCGGCAGGACCGAAGACCAACAGGTCACAGGTTCGAATCTGGGGAGAGGCAGATGAGCTCCCTCTATCAGCTCCAGCTCCTCATGCGGGGACATGAGAGAAGCCTCCCACAAGGATGATAAAACATCAAAATCATCCTGGCATCCCCTGGGCAACGTCCTTGCAGACGGCCAATTCTCTCACAAAAGGATGCTTCTGACACGACAAAAAAAAAAAAAACAACAAAAACAAAAAAACAATACAAACCAACATCATTATCATCTGCATCTCCTAGTAAAAAAATAAAAACATTGTCCAAGTTCCATTGTCAAGTGATTCCATTTCCTATGTCAGTTACTCTGCATTTGTAAACACTTGTTCATAAAACCATGTCTTAACATATCTCCGAAATGTTAAGAGTGAGGGAGCCGATCTAATCTCCTTAGCTGAGGGGCCACCTCAGAGAAGGCCCTATCTCTCGTCCCCGCCAAACGTGCTTGTGATGAAGGCAGGATCGAGAGCAGGGCCTCCTCGGACAATCTTAAAAGTCCTGGATAAGAGTTCTTTCTCCCAAAATAGTTCTTTCTCCCACCCTGGACATTGTTAAATAGATAGATGTTAAATAGATAAATGACCAAATTTGGGGAATTATGGTTTTAAAGGGTCTGTCAAAGGCTTTCATGGCTGGGTTGCTGTGAGTTTTCCGGGCTGTATGACCATGTTCCTGAAAGAACTGGCCACCTTGATTTGCATTGAATGGCCTTGCAGCTTCAAAGCCTGCCTTTAAAGGGTCTGCTTGAAGATAGGTGACTACATCTTGAGGGACTGTCAACTTACCACAATTTTGAGGGGAATTTGTTCCACACTCTGGAAGCAAAACAGGAGGAAGAAACCCCTCTCTGGCATTTCCATCACGCTGACCTTCTCAAACAATCATGTCCTCAAGATGATCTCTCTTTTAGATATTAATGTCCAGACAAGTTTATGCTGAGACAAAGACGCCCTTTGGATAAAGTGGCCCCAAGCCATGAAATATAATAACTATTATTATTATTATTATTATTATTATTATTATTATTATTATTATTACTCATCTCTCCCTGCAGCTCAAGGCAGGGAGAGATAAGTAATAATATTAATATTTATACATTATAAGGTAGAGTGAGAACCTTGAATTGGGCCTGAAATGCGACTCGCTCTTTCAATAGCAAAGTCGCATGAGCACAATACTTAAAAAAATAATTAATATATACATTGTCACAGTACAGCAATAAATCATAATCTAAGATCTTGCGATATGCCATTGATTCTTCCTCATCACAGACATTTACAAACTAATTTCCTGACTTCCTAATATATTATGATCTACTCTTGTTTTATGAATAATAGTCATAGCTTCCCCTAGCCAGTTATCCAAAATCTCACTTGATCGAAGGATGGCTTAAATTTGCTATTGCTCTGGCACATGTAGCTTATAAAAGGTTTCCATATATCCTCATACAAATTGTCTTATTTTTTTGTTCTTTCAGTACTATGCACCTGTCAGATGCACTTAGTTAACAGCAGTAGTAACAAATATTAACTGGCAAATATCAAACTGGTGACAGCATTGAGAGTTCTGAAGAAACAAGTCAAGTTGTGCAAACGTCAGGAAAACTGTGCCCTGTAATACACGGTCAAAAATGGGTCCCAGTATTACACTCTTTGCTTTCTGAAACAATTGAGACCATCTTAATTCAAATTACTAGAAAGAATAACTGGAACCTAAATATATCTCTTAAGTAAACATAGTCCATTGAATTTTCTGGGTCTTACCTAGAAACTTATTTAAGTCTTAATTTCCTAATTGGACTTGACTTACTCCAACATTTACTGCCAGTAAATATCAGAAGAATTTGAAATCAACGCAAGCCCTAGAAATGTATTCTGTGTTAAGGATCTGAGCCTAAAATATAGAGGAATACAATTGCAAATGACAAATATGTTGCATCCAATTAACATTTTATTGTTTTGCTTTTAAAAACATTTCTAAACTTTGCAATTGTATTAACTGCATTTTAGGGAATGCTTGATTTTGTTAATATTATTCCTACATGGTATTTATGTTGCTCTGTAATCTGCATTTTGGAGGTCATTACATTGAAAAGTGAAATTTGAATGAATAAATAATACCGATGGATGAAATAATGCCTTGTTCCACCTTTCATCTCCTCTTCTGTGTGGAAATACTGGAATTTGTTGAGAAATGCACTGTGTGCTGTGGGGTAGTAATGGGTAGAAGTGGCCTGAAAACTTCCCAGTTCAAACTTTGTAACAAAGCGTCCCATGCAAAGTACATCTTCATAGCTTTACTTTTATCATCAGGCGATCACCCACTTTAGCAGTTTTTCACTTGTTGTCATTTATCTTCAAACAATTTCTGATTGATGGCAACCCTAAGACAAATTGAATCTACTGCAGGGTTTTCTGGGCCTAAATGTGACTTGCCTAAGGTCACCCAGTGGGTTTCCGCGGCCAATTGGGGAATCGCACTCTGGTCTCCAGATCGTAGTCCAACACTCTCTGGACCACTTTATAATAATGACAGACGTTTCACTGCATTGTGAGAAAATGCTGCCTTTTAGGTCTTGTTATCTGTCTACTCTGTTTAATATCATTAGGCAATTGTTTTGGCCAACTACCATTTCACCTGCCATATACCACAAAATGTAGTAGAGATAGTGCTGTCTTGTTTCAGCTTCTAGCTGTTGCTGCCTTGCTGAGAAACCCAAGGCAAATGTAACTGTCCGCTATTGAAGCTGTATCTCAAGAACAGCATCTTGCTGGGACTGATCCAAAGTAAGTCAGCATGAAAGCACCCTTTGTCTATCCTCACTCCCCTAATGAAACCTGAGTAAGTGAAAATTGCTTTTGATACCGTGCACCATTCTGATTTATCAGCAACACACAATTTGTGCTATAATCATATGCTCTATTAAAATCAAATGGACTTTTAACACCTAGCATATTTAGGGCAACTGTCCTTATGTTGATAAATAACTGGAGAAAGCATTTTGAGAGGATGTATTCTATACTACTCTGAGGTTAGTGTAACATTCTAAAAATTCTCCTGTCAAGTGTTTCTTTTCATGGATAGGTTTCTGTGCGTAAGGTTGTCATGTGATTAAAAATTAACAAAGAACAATCAAAACATTTCTTGACACACAAATAGTGATAGCACAAGCTAGAAGCACAAGAAGAAAAAGAGGGCAACTTTTCCATTAAGGATTCTAAAGACCCCTTTCCCCACATTAGGTAAAGGTTTTCCCTACATTAAGTCCAGTCGTGTCTGACTCTGAGGGTTGGTGCTCATCTCCATTTCTAAGCTGAAGAGCCGGTGTTGTCTGTAGGCACCTCCAAGGTCATGTGGCCAGCATGACTGCATGGTGCGCCATTACCTTCCCACCAGAGTGGTACCTATTAATCTACTCACATTTGCATGTTTTCAAACTGCTAGGTTGGCAGAAGCTGAGGCCGACAGCGGAAGCTCACACCGCTCCCCGGATTTGAATCTGCAACCTTTCGGTCAACAAGTTTAGCAGCTCAGTGGTTTAACCCACTACGCAACCGGGGCTCCACATTATCAAATACCAAATGAGGAGTAAATGGCGGCTGTGGTGAACAAGGTCTCTAGGCTCTTAAAATTCTATTTTTTCTCCTATTAACAGCTGCTAATCCATGTTGTATGTTTAAATTACTGCAGTTACATGCATGTGTTGCTATAATTATTCCTGGATCAAGAACAAATAGAGTATGTAATGGCCCAGAGAACCTAGAAAGGTAGCAGAATTTAAAAATGAGCATTATCCCCTACATTTGTAATGTCATATATTTTTTAAAAAAGCTTTAACTTAAAAGCTACCAAGAATAGGTTAGAGTATCTTCACCTATTACTGCAAAAAGCAGTCCTCAAGTTACAAACAAGACAGGTTATGGAGGTTAGTTCTTAAGTTAAATTTGTATGTAAGTCAAACAGGTACATTTTAAGTGTAACTCCAGCTCGCACTCGCTCTCTCTCTCTCTCTATATATATATAAACTTTGGATAGCATAGGGAAAGGTTAACACCACTGTGGTGTTTGTTTTGTTGTCTGTGCCCCTATTCAGAAGATTTCACCTCACTTTCTGTCCCTTTGATAAATGGATTTTGAAAAATCTAGCTTGTTGAGGAAATAAGGATTGGTAATAAAGCTACAGCGGAGACACCTTTTTCCCATAACTCGCTTCCAGGGTGAATTTCCCATCTGTAACTTGAACTGCCTGTGTGTGTGTATATGCCTGTGCTGGAATCATAGTTCTCCCTAGCTAGACATCTTAAATTCAAAAGGTACAAGACCTTCTCCAAATTACACCTTGCACAACTTAGCTTAAGACAGGGCAAAATATTTCTTAGCTTTCATGAATTCACATGTAGTGAGACCTTT